AGGCTGGGTCTGGGTTTAGGGCTGGAGCTGGAGCTTGGATTGGGATCTGGGCTGGGGCTGGAATCTGGGACTAGGGCTGGGATCTGGACTGGGGCTGGGATTCAGGCTGGGGCAAGCTTCACCCCCCTAGGTTGCTCCTGTCCCCCCTGAGAGAGCAGTGTTGGAAAGGCCATGGGGCCTGTCAGGCTGTCAGCACAGCCTGTGTGTCAGCCCCAAGAGACACAGTAACCCCAGTGTGTGTGCTCCCCTGGGCTGGGTTGGAGTTGCTCTGCTGTGTGATTGTGAGTGCTCAGAGCAGTAAGGACAGTGCAGATGAGTTCTGCTAACCTTTCTTTGCAGGTGCTGGGGAAGAGGATGGAGGGGGTGGTGTCCCCAGCCTGGGCTCGTTGTCTCTTTACCAAGTCAAGAATTCCAGACTCGGTATGTGCCTCAGGAGCTGAGAAACTGAAAAATGGGTGTTAGTCTGCTAAATGCTGTGTTTGCTGGGGTATGACAGATTCCTAGAGCCTGTGGGATGAGCGGGTTCACAGTGTGCTGGGTGAAGAACTGCCTGAAGGGCAGAGCCCAAAGGGTTGCAGTGAATGGGGCCACATCTGACACCAGCAGTGCTCCTCAGGGTTCAGTTCTAGAGCCACTTCTATTCAAAAAACTTACCAACAATCTGGATGCAGGAGTTGAATGCACCATTAGTAGGATTCCTGGTAATACCAAACTGGGAGGTGCTGCTGACTCTGTCAAGGGACAAGATGCCTTGCAGAAGGATCTAGATAGATTGGAGCACTGAGCAGTCATCAGTGGCAGGAAATTTAACAAGGATAAATGCCCCTTTGTATATCTGGAACAGAGCAGTGCCAGGCACAGGTGACACTGGGAGAGGAGTGGCTGGAGAGCAGCCCTGCAGCAAGGGAGCTGGGGGTGCTGGTTGGCAGCAGCTCAGAGGAGTCAGCAGGGAGCCTGGGCAGCCAGGAGGGCAAAACCCATCCTGGGTGCATCAGACACAGCACAGCCAGAGGTCAGAGGAGGTGATCACCCTGCTGTGTTCAGTGCTGGTGCAGCCTCAGCTGGAGTGCTGTGTGCAGCCACACAATCTGAGAAGAGAGGAGATCATTGGTGGAAAGGCTAAGAGACATGTCCTGTGAGGAGTGGCTGAGGACTTTGGGTTGGCCCAGTTTGGAGAGGAGGAGGCTGAGGGGTGATCTCACTGCTCTCTGCAACTTCCTGACGAGGAAAAGTGGAGAAGGATGGGCTGAGCTCTTCTCCATGCAATCCAATGACAGGATGCATGGGGATGTTTCAAAGCTACCCCAGGGGAGGTTCAGACTGGACAGTAGGAAGCTTTTCTTTACTGAGAGGGTGGTCAGACACTGGAACAGGCTTCCTGGAGAGGTGGTCAGCACTCCAAGCCTGTTTAAGAGGCATCTGGACAGTGCCTTAACGATGCTTTAGCTTTTGATCCACCCTGAAGGGATCAGGCAGATGGACTAGGTGATTGTTAGTAGGCCCCCTCCAACTGAAATGTTTTATTTGACTAATAACTAAACCAGAAAGAAAAACACATTAAGAATTTTTACCAATGTCAAAGTATGTTTTAGAGAGTAATTAACTATAATTACAACCAGATACTGAGGAGGAAACCCTATGGTTTTGTGAACATTTTATTCTAGGTGTTTCAGCCACGGCCTGGAGATCATGAAAAGTATGGAGGTGACCCTGAGCAGCCCCACAAAATCCACGTTATTACCAGAATAAAGAGTGTCATTGGTCGCCCCTACTGGGAAAAGAAGATAGTACGTGACCTTGGGCTGGATAAAGTATGACTGTTGTTCTTTACTCTTACTGTATACATCAGAAATGCAGCATTTATGGTGGTGGGCATTTCAGAGACCTCAGTTTTGCAGCCACAAAACAGAATTACATTTATGGCAGCTGTAAAGCAATCTGAGACGTTGGTGATGCATTCAGGAGCTGAGGGGAATGTGAGTGGAAATGTGCTTTTAGTGGGAATTCAGGATATCACTGTATGGAGCTGTGCTGCGTGCCTGGGGAGAGCTTTGCCCTGAGAGTTCTGCTGAGACAGAAATAAATTTGTAAAGACTTTGAATTCAGTTTTCTCCATGGGTCATACTATTCAGGTGTTGTGGGAAGGCAAATAAGACTCATTTATCAATGAAAATGCTTCTTCCAAATCCAAGACTCTAAGAGTTTGCGTCAAAAATGTATTTATCCAAGTTTTTCAGGATAACTGCACAATGTGCAAAGATTCATCTAGTCAGTGTTACATTACAGAGAAAAAATGTGTGGTTGATCAATTTAAGGTCTAGCTGAAGCAAGCAGCCCCTAAACTCCTGTATCTACATTTGTAGTATTCTTAGGAGTTGGAAGAAATTTGAGCATGTTGGTAATGGAATGGGAATAAAGCTGAAACGGTCATTTTACCGGAATCAAATTTTGATCTCCTGTTCTTATATTCTTGATGCATGATAGTTCTCTCAATCTTACCTTTGCAAGTGTGGTTTATATTCTACTGATAGTAGGAGGAATTCAGTGAACAGGGATTTGGCAGCACATTTGTAAAACCTGTTTTATCCCTTACCTAGGCACATCAGCCAAGGCTGCACAAAAATATCCCTTCTGTGAATGCCAAACTGAAAATCATTAAACATCTGATAAGGTTTGTTAACTAGTTATTTATTTCCTTGTTAATTTGGAACATTTAAAGTAACTCTCTTCTAGTCACAGGAGTTCACTAAGCAAACTCTTTTTGCCTGTAGAATAAAGCCACTGAAACTACCCTATGGGTTGCCAACAGAAGAGGAACTGTCCAGCACCTTTCTCACAACCAGGGGAGAGCTTATCATTAAACAGCGTCTGAAGCCTGTGGAGCAGCAAGAAGTTAAGTCCTAAGGTGTGCAGAGTGGATTTAGATTTTGTAAAATAAACAAGTGAAATCCTGATTTAAGAGTTTGTGTATGAAATGTAAGAATTATTACCCTGTCTGGGGCGAGTGGCACAGATATGTTTGTGCACAGATATGGAATTCAATGTTAATAGCTGCCTGAAGCATTAAAGGAATTACAGACTCTCTGTCCTTGTGTTTTGATTTGGTGGCTGGGTTGCTGCAGTTTATGGCTAGCTCTAAGAACTTTGTAAGAGAAGTGAATAGAATAGATCTAGCTAATGATGGTGAGGACATTTCCCAGCTGACAGTAGAGGTTCACAGTAATGGTGAAGGACATCACTGCACAAAGGAAGTAACTGGAATCAGTAGTCACACAAGACTCAACTGGCTGTCCCCTGAGAGTGTCCTGTGATTGAGGCAGGCTTTTGGGTGACTTGCCTTGGTCTTCTACATCTCACACTTGTTCCTTAGCAAACAGTCTCTCATTTGGCCTCTGTAGCTTAAAAATTACATTTGGGAGTAACAGGAGTTCACATCCGGGTAGGTTGTATAATTTGTCTTCCAGGAAAGATGCTATCTCACTTCATATGTCTTTCTTAATCATAGAATTTTAGGGGGTGGAATGGACCTTACAGATCATCTAGTCCCAACCCCTGGCCTGGGCAGGGACACTTCCCACCAGAGCAGGTTGCTCAAGGCTTCGTCCAACCTGGAATGAACACTGCCAGGGTTGGGGCAGCCACAGCCTCCCTGGGCAACCTGGGACAGTGTCTCACCACCAGAACAGGAAAAACTTTTTCCTTAACATCTAGCCTAAATTTCCCCTCTTTCAATTTGAACCCATTGCCCCTTGTCCTGTCCCTGCAGCTCCTAACACAGAGTCCCTCTGCAGCTTTCCTGGAGCCCCTTCAGATCCTGGAAGTTGCTATGAGATCTCCACACAACCTTCTCTTCTCCAGGCTGAACAGCCCCAACTCCCTCAGTCTGTCCTCGTGGGGGAGATGCTCCAGTCCCCTTACCAACTTTGTGGTCTCCTCTGGACTTGCTCCAACGGTTCCATGTCTTTACATTGAGGGCACCACAACTGCACACAGTATTCCAGGTGTCTTAAATGTTCAATAATAATAGCCTAAGAGCTGCAGTCTGTGTGAAAGTTGATGTTTTTCCTGTTCTAAAATTGCAAACTTTAGAAATCTGGAGGCCCTGGAGCTTACCTCTTTGGTGCATGTCAGGAATTGTGGGCTGCAAGCTTATAAAACACTACTGTGTACATAGTTTTGTTTACAATTTTGAGAATTATGGCCAAAGTTAGCAAGCTGCTGCTTATCAAATGATAGTTTTCATTCCAGTGAGAATAAACTCCATAGTTCAACACACTGTGAGCCTCTCCCACACGAGCTGAAGAGGAGTTAATGACTGTATGTTGTGAGAAGATCAGAGGGATACAGTGCTGCAAATGAGTGTTTATCCTTTCTGCCTTGCAGAGGAGGGTAAACACCTGTAGGAGTTGAAAGGATTGGACAGTTCAGTACAGGGATATAAAAGCTGGAGGCACTGTGTGCAGAAGAAAAAGGATAGGCCATGGTAGTGGCATCTAATGGACCCTACTGGCAGGCTGAAGTCAGAAATGAGAAAGTGAGCTAAAAACCTGTTTCTCAACAAGCTACAGGCTATAGCTGGGAGTTCACAGAAGATGCTGGTGTCACTCTGAATATAAGAATAGCATGGAAAAAAGCAGAGCAGATAAATGAATGTTGCTTTTCTTCCCTCCTTCCCTCCTTCCTTCCTTCCTTCCAGCATCTGCACAGCACCTGATGCTGCAGTGTGCTGTTACTGCAGTCTCTGCCAAGTGTTGGTCATGTGCCCACAGGGAGGTGCTTAGTACAACCTGGAATTCCAGCCCTGTTGAAAGACCTGTGTAGTGCAGCCAAGGTACAGAGCATGCTGCAAAGAGATGGCACAAGTACTAGGGCCCAGAAAATGAGGGAAATTTGGATTACTATTGGTGGGTAGCCAATAGAGGAACAGCAGCAGGGCTGGGGTGGCAGAGCCCCAGAGCCAGGACAGCTCAGCCCTGCCAAGCACATCTGGGACTCCTGTCGGGGGCATTGCAGCCTGCTGAGCCTCCAGCAGAGGACTGCACTGCCAGCTCTGTCCCACACAGGGTGGATAGGGATATGGATATGGGTCTTCTGTCCATGGCACAGCACAGATGCTACAGCCTGCAGAAGGACTCAGCTTATACGAGAGTGAATGTGTTAACCAACAAGCTTTGGAGCTTGTTAGGAGCTGCAGTGACAGGACAAGGGGCAATGGGGACAACTTGAAAGAGGGGAAATTTAGGCTACATGTTAGGAAAAAGTGTTTTCCTGTGAGGGTGGTGAGACACTGTCCCAAGTTGCCCAGGGAGGCTGTGGCTGCCCCAACCCTGGCAGTGTTCACAGCCAGGTTGGATGAGCCTTGAGCAACCTGCTCTGGTTGGTGGTGTCAATGGGAAACAGACTTTGGGACAGTGAATTACAGAATTAGAATTACAGAATCATAGAATTTTAGGGGTTGGAATGGAATTTACAGATCATCTAGTCCCAACCCCTTGCTCTGGGAAGAGACATCTCCCACCAGAGCAGGTTGCTCAAGGCTCATCCAACCTGGAATGAACAATGCCAGGGTTGGGGCAGCCACAGCCTCCCTGGGCACCCTGGGACAGTGTCTCACCAACCTCACAGGAAAAAGCTCTTTTCTCACATCCAACCCGACTTTCCCCCCTTCAGTTTGAACCCATTGCCCCTTGTCCTGTCACTGCAGTTCCTAACACAGAGTCCCTCTCTGGCTTCTTGTAGGCCCTTTGGATATTGAAAAGTTGCTCTGAGGTCTCCACACAACCTTCTCTTCTCCAGGCTGAACAGCCCCAACTCCCTCAGCCTGTCCTCACAGGGAGATGCTCCAATCCTCTTAGCAACTTTGTGGCCTCCTCTGGACTTGCTCCAACAGTTCCATGTCCTTACATTGAGGACACCAGAACTGTGTGCAGTATTCCAGGTGGGTCTCACAAGAGAAGAGCAGAGTAGAGGGGAAGAATCACCTCCCTTGCCCTGCTGCCCACACTCCTGTGGCTCAGCCCAGGATTCCATTGGTTTCTGGGCTGAGCTCACACTGCAGCTCATGCTGAGCTTCTCATCCACTGTCACTCCCAAGTCTTTCTCCTCACTGCTGCTTTCATTATTTACAGGAATATCAGACAAGCATCACAGACCTGCCAGGTTTGCTGCAGGATGTCTCCTCACCTCCTCACCACACGTGCTGGAGACAAATGGGCCTTTTCTCTGCTGACAGCCTAGGGAGCAGCTGGCTTGGTGCATTTCCCACACCCACTGGTCTGATGAGAAATATGAACACCTAACAACTTGTTGTACATCCTCCCGAACACAACAGGGTTTCTTTCCTACAGCACAAGCACTGTTATGATTTAAAGAATGAAATATCTTTTAATTTAATTTTTTACCCCATTCCTAACAGTCTGGAACTAGGAGGAGCCTTGTCTGGGAACAATTGCACCCCTTCAATTCTTGAAAGCAATAATGTGCTGACAATGGGAAAATGGGAACCTGTGCTTTTGGACATAATCAAATTTTTTTGCAGGCAAAGATCCAGGAACAATAATACAACCAGAGCTGCAGCTGCTGAGAATTTGAATAGGCAGAGACTATGCCAGGTCCCTGTGGTTAGCCCTCCTGGACAGTGACAACAAAGGTTAACAACCCCAAAGGAGCAGAGAGTGTGATCAAAGCTGCTGTAGCTGTGCAGCAGGAAGGGAGAGAACCACTGGGTGACAGAATCCACCCTGAGCTGCTTCTCCCCCAAGGTGAATTCTGTGAGTGCTAAATGCTGTTTCACTCTTTCAGCAGCTCTTTTACATTTTAACCTGTGGAATTCAACGCGTGTCATTGCATTGAAAGATTCAGTTCTGTAAGTTTTTCCTGTGATGTCGATACCTCCCACAGAGAACAAGCTGCAAAAAGTGACAGCAGCCCATGCATGGGGCTCTTCACACTCACCATTAGGAGTGGAAAGAGGGTTGAAACAGAGGGAAGTATGTCTGGCAGGAAGAAAAATAGAACAGATATGGCTCAAACGAAGTGACATTAAAAAATCTGCAAATTCAAAATACCACTGAAGATGATTCACAAAACTGTAATCTCCAAATGGTCTGTTCTACCATTCCCTTATTGCTGGGGAGAAATTGCACTAGTTTGCTTCTTCTTCATCACAGTAGTCCATAGAATCATAGAGTCATAGAATTTTAGGGGTTGGAATGGACCTTACAGATCATCCAGCCCCAACCCCTGCCCTGGGCAGGGACACCTCCCACCAGAGCAGGTTGCTCAAGGCTCATCCAACCTGGCTGTGAACACTGCCAGGGTTGGGGCAGCCACAGCCTCCCTGGGCAACCTGGGACAGTGTCTCACCACCAGAACAGGAAAAAACTTTTTCCCAATCTCTAATCCAAATTTCCCCTCTTTCAATTTGTCCCCATTGCCCCTTGTCCTGTCCCTGCAGCTCCTAACACAGATCCCTCTGCAGCTT